GTCATTCGGCCAACACTTGTCAGCCGCGCCTTCGTGGCACAGCGTCGGAATACAAGCGCTACGTTAGTATTCAGGCGCGTGGATTGTAATGATCCCATTTATATGACGCCTTGCGTGAAATAAAACACGCGCATTGCGCTTTGGTTGTACGTATACGTCGTTACTGTATATGAGCGAAAGTACAGTGAAGGTCTTTATTGCCAACAGGGCGTAAATCCACTGACAGGGAAATACTCTCCTAGATAACCTGACCTAGAGACAGGAGCAGTTAGCAACTGCTGACGGATCAGAGTTATACCACTGTTGTGTTTTCATCGATGCTCTCTCTCGCCGCCATATGAAGCGCGATACACACGCAGCTATAAATATGGTGAAAATGCAAAGTATAGTTTAAACGTAAACATTTTGACAGCAATCTGTCAAAATATATAAAAGTATAGTTTGTAGGATGCAATGACAAGGTTCGCGTTGAATAATCACGCAGAGGCAAGCCGGATGCTGAATCACGATTTTAAATGCGCAATGTAGGTACAGCACGTTTCACAGCTGCGCAGAACTCCGTATTAGCATCTCGACTCAGCTACAACCCGAACAGACTGACAAAGAACTTTATTGCTACAACCCGAAGTGACTGCCGTTCCCTTAGAGTAAAAACGAAACGCAAAACAAGCGTAATTACATCGTCAGAGTACAAGCTTGCAAGATGTAGCAACCAGTCGTCGCTTCACTGAAGCACTAAAATAAAGAAAAGCTGGCATCCAAGAGCTGCAGTGCTGCGCTGTAGAGAATGTAAAAAAAAATATGTTTAAAATAACGCGAAAAGGCCAGACTATTTATGCTCGCCGACTCAGAAAGGTACGAGACCAACATGCACAACAGCACCCGTGCAGCAGCTGAACGCCGTAGAAGGCTCCTGGCTTTTCTCATCGCATCTCGCATGCGAATCATTGCGCATGCGCGCGCGTATACACAGCTGACTGAATACGAACGCAAGCCACACCCGTATCTCACGGCCAGCCATTCGGTATAGCGGCTTCGTTGCCCCGGCGAGACGGGTAAATCCCGGTGAGCGCGCGCGCATTCCAGCATACCCCGCAAATGAATCTGTGCAAGAGCGTGGTGTATCGCATATAACAACGTGGAGTCGAGAAAAAAACAGCCAGTCGAGGAAAAAAAAAATAACGCAGCTGGTCCTCTTGAGGCTTACGGGTGTAACGTACGCTATCCGGATACGAACGCGTATCACGTTTCCGTTGAGTTTTTCGAGAGGCGAACGCGTCGCTACGGCTTGGAACTCCCGAGGGACTCGTTTCAGCTAATTGATTCGTCCGGCCACTGCAGCATAAGCAGTCACGAGAGAATAGCTTTGGCAATGTAACCTTCTTTGGCATATACTCGGTGTGCACACTCGAACGTGGTGCAGTGCGAACCAGCAGTTGATTGATCGACTGATTGATCGATTGATTTGCCTTTCATTGAACGACCGAAGACAGCACATGCCCCATGAAACACGCATAGGCGGGAGACTACGGACTGAATTTTGGTGACCTGTTTCATTATGATGAGTATTCGCATAACATGTGTGTACAAACTGCACCGAAGATCACTGTTAAGAGCCACACTTGAATTGCAAAAAACAAAAACAAAAGGTACACTTGTATCAATATGTATTTCCCTAGAATAGTAGTATAAATTTATGACAAAGTTAGGTCAGTGTGTCAAATTACGCTACGAAAAGGAGGTAATTTTACAACGGAAATCTACAAGTATCAAGGGGTTAACTGAATGACTTGACGACAGTTTGGGAACCGATGCTTCAGTGGCATTTCACTGAAGCGATGGCATTCGATTCCGAGACAAGCAGAAGGTGGGTCGTCTTCGGCGACATTGGCGAGGGTTCTTTTAGGCCGTACTTTACGAAGCATGATTCAGCCAGCACACATTCATTACGAGTTCTGTCGTAAAAATAAATAAATAAATAAAATAAAGGTGCGCTAACCGCATTGCATAGTTCTGTAAAGTCCCGCCACCATCACAACCTTCACCGTCGGTGTCACGCACTCGGCTTTTGATATAAAGGAGGACGACCGAAGAGACTGAACACGGCGAGTGAGAGCGAGAAGAAGGAACGGCGAATAGAGAAAGAAAAGTAAATAAACGCACCGGCGGCGCGCTCCGCTTGTTATGAATTCAGCGCGACAGGCCCCCCCATCCGACTGGCAACGAGACGGGCTTCTGTTGCTTCTGCGGCCGGCATATATGACCGAGCTGGTTACTAAGTGCGTTTGATCGTCGCCGGGAATGTTCGGTCGAAGCGTTGTATACTATATATATATACTGCGTTTGAGGGTGGCCTTACGAGCGGATCAGCACTGCGGCGGTGCCGTTAAAAGAAGCAGAATTGAAGGTTAGGAGAGCGGACCTTGGCCGCCAGAATTAAAAGAAGGAAGAAAGAAGAAAAAATACGCCGTCGTCCTGGCGCCCCTGTGGAAGAAGGCCGAGATCGTCGGAACGTTACTGCGAATAGCGGCGAACCGAGGAGAAAGATAAAAACTTCTGCTTTGAAACGAGGAAAAAAATTGATTGAAACGCAGGGCAGACGTCACAATCGAGAGTTTTGACGCCTTGTGTATGCGTGTAATTGCGAAGACGTTTTCCTGGATGATTGTGAGGTCACTGCTACGAGCGGTAACGATGTTTTTGTAAAGGTGTACGCATGTTTAGTTCTGTTAGGTTCGGTGTAGGAGGAGTTAGTTAAAGACCTTTACCTGGCTGCATATCTGACTTTATTTCTTGGTGTTTTTTTTTTTGGTACCGGTGGGGCGAGAATTTTCTGCTAAGCTTTGCCTTATCAGTCGCGAAAAACGCCGCAAAATTGCAGGCGAGGTAACAAACGTATCTTACTGCAGACACTTTCAAAATTGACGAGGAAATAACTAAATGCACACGCTTCTAAATACTGTACACGAATGAATTAGGTTATCCTCTCTGAGTACATGACATACGCGTTGAATTAACACGGCATTTCTGAGTTTAATCATTTTTCCGTGATACTTGAGACAAAGCTGTATGACCGAATCATTTCAGTGTAAGCGGCCTTGCAATGGTTCAGGCGAGTGTAATTCGGTTTCTGGGACGAAAGCATTCGGTGACTTACGTAAACCGCACCTCCTCTCTGAGCATTGCACTCTGACCGCTCTCGGCGACTGCTTTGGCATGACAGGTACATTTTCACCCCGCGTAAAAACTACAGCTGTACGCGGACATCTATTAACGGAGGGTAACGTTTATCCGTAAAATAGTGCAACACTTTCTTTCAACAAAATACGCCGTGCACACTTCATTTGTAAAGAGGGCTTTGCCGCATTAATAGCGCGCTATGCAACAAAGCATCACTACGTTGTCACGGACAGGATCATTAGTTACATAACTTTCCTAGCGAGATACAACTAGCGTTCGGAAAGAACCGTAAATACAAGAGAACTTATTAAGGTAAAAGTCATTAGAAATTGTCACTTACTGCACAAAAGTTACAATATTGACTCAATTTCAGTGATTTGAGCTTACCGTTACAAGGAATGCCAGTACCACCGGCAGGACACTGTGAGGCTTTCGCGAGTTAACAATGTTTCCACGAGAAGACTATACTCACTTTGATACTATGTCCCACTTTTGGAGCTGTAAAGCGCACGATTTGTAAAAAGAAAATCACTCAACGAAATCTTTGGTGGACGTAACAGCACGCGCCACCTCCACGTATCGGTGTTAATCGCGCCAGCGACGCTACGCTACAGCTCATCGATACGATTCCAAATATTGGCACAGGCTCAAGAAGAAGCGAATTCCCGATCGTACATCCAGGAAGAAGAATAAATTTTAAAAAGAGGTCAACGAGGAGACAATCGCGACGAGGTTCGCGAATGGTACGAGTCTGTAGTGAATGGCGTTAACTGCGACCAATGAAACCGAGCGCATCCGTGATCTCTTTACGACGTCTCCGCATTCCACGTGGACAAACAAATATAAATCCAAGCCACGCGAATCTTCATTGGCAGGGAGCTTTTACGTTCGGCGCCTTATCTGATTGTGCAAGAACAAGCGATGGATGGGGGTAAATGAACAAGAAAAGTACTCTGGCTCGGCGGACCAGGTAGCCCCGGTAGACGTCATTGAGAAGCGTAACAGGTGAAACGAAGCTGCAAATACATTTCTTTCGAGGCTTTCTGTTTTTCTTTTCTTTCATGATATATATATACTTTTTTGTCGTTGCAAGGCCACGTGTTAAAGCTGGGCTGAAGGCACCTTACCTTGCCCACGATAAAGGCTTCATCGCGCTGCGGAAGGTTGCAAAGGGTTACATATCTATGTATAGCAATCATACCTCGCAGAACGAGCAAACAAAGAGTAAAATCTCGCTACTGTGCAGATCAAGAACCGCGCTGAGTCTAGCACGTGCATGGAACGTCAAAAAAGCGATCGAAATGGCTAAGGCGATGATCTGAAATGTGCCATCCGATACTGAACCTCGCTGGCGTCACGGCCGATTCTTCGAGGTCTGTGCCGTGCGCGAAGGCTATACGCTAGCAGGTATTGAAAAAAAAAGTAATTCAAAAAAAATTTAATTTATGTTGGTGTTCGAGCTCATGCACGATTGCATATGTAGGAGGTACTGTTGCCGTGTTACTAGAGAAGGAATTCAGAAGGAATTCTATCAGTGAAAAAAAAAAGTGAGCAGCCATGAGTTGGCATCAGGGACCATCCTAGCCTCTGCAGTGTGTGTGGATTCACCTAACTATTGTAATTTCATCAATGAAAGTTCACTTATTAAGCTGTCACTAACGCTAAGGTGTCAAAATAAAAACAGAAACTTGGAAATAACTCGACTGAAAAGAAAACGGCAGACAGGAAAACACAACAGAAATAGAGACATGAAACAAGTCAGAGGAAAAAATCAAAGGAGAAGGGACGAAAGAGGGAAGAAAACAAAAATGTGTACTTACACCTGAGGTACATCTTGGCAGTTGCCGCGTTTCGGTGTCACGTGAAGAACAAGTCTCTCGCCTAGTGGCGATCCTCTACTACGGTCACAAACAGCGGAGTCGGGTGAAACCGTGGTCCAATTCCGCGCGAACACCACAGGCGCGCGGATCGAGGAGGAACAGGGATGATGAGCGGCGAGGTCCTCCGGAAGGCGCAGGGATGCTCGGGGGAGAAACTCGGTCGTCGGAGCAAGTGTCGGCTGGACGACGACTGGTCACTCTCTTAACCACCGGCTACCGTCGTGGTCGGCAATGAAGCATCCAGGTGTGCAAGGCTAACACCACCCGTCCGCGTCTGCTGTTCTCGTCAGACTGGGCCTGGTTCACCGGTGCGGCTCGGTGTTGTTTAACGTGTGGCTGCTGCTGCTGCTGCTGCTGCCGTGAAAGGGGTCTTTCCAGCCGGAAAGACTGGAGGGCCGGAAGGAAAGAGGCGAGGAGAGTTCGGTGTGTGCGCGCAACACAGTCGCTGGTGAGGAGAAGAAGGGCACTACGCACGCAGGCAGCGAAGGCAAGCGGATGAGAGTGCGAGCTGGAGACGTACGAAAAAAGAGAGCGAGAGTGGCACGCTCGCGTAAGCGATAGAGTGGCGTACCTGACCGGTGCCGCCGCCACCAGCGTCACACCGCCAAGACGATGTGGAGAGGAGGTTTTTGCCGGTTGTGCGCTCACCTCTCTCTCTCAGCCCTTCTCCACATCTATGACTGCGGGCCGTTATCCCGAAGCAGAAAGGAGAGAAAGCGACTCTTCAGGGTTAAGGTTAGCGCAGCTTCGGCGGCGACAGAAGCAGCGAGCAGCGCAGCAGAAGAAGGATGCCTGTGGCGCGAGAGCAGGCGGGGAGGGTGCGGACGGCTTCGATAATCGCGCCGGCGGGACCTGGCAGTGTGCGCTACGCTCCCCCACCGGGCCGCGTTCTCGGTGAAGAAGCGCTAGAGGAGCGATGCGGCGAACGGCATCGAGCGCGGCACGTGCCGATCCGACACCTCTCCAAGGGGATGTCTTTCTTGTATGGATGAAAGTGTCTAGGTTTCGCGTTCGCAGTAAAGTCTTGCTCCTCGAGAAGAGCCGAGACTACGGGGCTAAATGTCACCTTGTCCTCACTGTCGGCTGCCGCAGTTCCCTATGATTCGCGACTTAAAATATCCAAGGCTGTTCGATTCGAGAGCATGGCGATATTGTGTTATGTGCAAGTTTACATCGGTTGGTTACGTACATACGCCGATTGACTCCATCAGCCATCACAAGTTTCAACTAGTCCCCAATGAGTAGGTCCTTCTTTTGAAGTTGTTACTGGTGCAGCATGCTGCTTACTGTAATGCTCAAGCGCGCAAAGTAAGGTTGACGCCCACGACAGGTGTTTCATCGGAGTTGTGCGAGTTACCAGATGACTTTATTGTCTTTGCGAATTTTATCTGGTTCTTTTTGCGATTTCGTTTGTGTAGCTCTATTCAATGTACACCCCTTCACGGAACGCCACATGTACCAGCGCCTATCCACATGTGTCCGCGCTTGACTGAACCTGCCGACACAAAGTTAAGCTCTGGCGAAGGCTTTGGGGAAAATCCATCGTTACAACTTCCAAAAAATGCAGTATAACTTCAGAAATAACATGGCAACTGACATCTAGATGAGTTGTTGTATCATCGCAGTCGACAGTCACGTCAATAGTGAGGCAAGATGCAGGATTGGGTCACCTCTCTCGCCATCTCTACTTCACCCCCATCAGTGTGTTCATATTAAATCTCATTTAAGTTTGCCATAGAGTGTTGCTGTAATGTTCTCTACAAAAGATTGTAGCTGACGTTCACTACAAAAAGACACCAAGTCTTTTTAGAGGAAAAATTATTCTGCTCCAACCACATCAAATAATGTGAACGTATGACCTGCCGCTGTGGTAACCGCTCTAAAACATCTCAAAGAACAATTTTACTAGCTAAAGTTTACAACAAGCATTGAAATGCCCGTGATACTGGTGACATACATAGGGAAGGGAAGGGGGTCATCATCCCACGAATTCTTATGGCAGTGTGAACTGCGAATATTCGACCACAAGCCCTTGTATGTTCCTTTGAGTGTTTTAAATAACCCCAAACTCGAAGCCCTGGGACGCTTTGGTCAAGAAGCCCCATTCAAATGAGCCAGTACGGTCGCTTGTGACTATTGTTTTTGTGCCTATCATCAAATACTCCGTACATGATGATAGACAGAAAAATGTTGAGTCCCAGCGCTTGCCAATGTGACGCAGCGGAGACAACTGGGCCTACATGCCTTTTTATACTTTGCCTAATTAGACACTCTTATCGCATGAACGACGCGCAAGGCATTGAGAGATGCGGCGTCTTGAAAACGACAATCTAAATATATTCAACGTCATATAGGAATAAGTAGCACACTTAAGTGCATTTACATAAAAATGCGTGGTATTCAATAGTGAATCACACTCTGAATGAGCATTTCATTGCTTCTTTTTTTTACCCTTGTGCATACAATTATTCCACAACGAGGCTGAGTCACTCGAGAAACCGGTACTGTAATCTCAGTGGCACTCAAGAACAGACCAGAAAAAGTCACTTCCATTTTAATGATCCGTCTTCGGTTAAGGAATGCATCGACGGAGCTATAACTAGCAAATGACTTCGACGGTGCATGCAGTTTTATGCGTCAACGTTACGCAACAAACGCTCATGTCTGCGACAAAGGCAGTTCTAGTGTCAGAACACTACAGACTCAATCAAGCTCAATCGGTACGCAGTAGTCAACAGATGCTTATTCAAAGAAACGGACAATATACTTTTTTTTTGCTAATTGAATTTAAGATGCGAAAATAGACGCAAACACAAGAGGTGCACAAGGACCAGAGCACCATTATTAACTGATTCAATAGCGGAAATACGCACACACGTACGCGCTGACTGATATACATATATGTCAATCTGTTTCTACAAATATATCAATTTTAAGTGGTGCTCTGTCCCGTGTGCTCGCTTGTGTTAGCGCTTATTTCCGCGCCCTAAGTTCAATTATGAACGTACTCAATCTCGACCAACAAAGCGTCATCTTAATTATTTGTTACAGTGCAGCCAACATGACGGGCCGAATAAATACTCTTGCTCGATATTCGACCCACATATTGTTCTTAGGTCAACGAACTTTTGAGACAGGCGGTGACCCACACAGCGATCACGTCTTCTTTCCCCCAAATCCATTAGCAGTGAAATGAAAATCCGCATATAACGCCGTAATTTAGCCTTGCTTGCATCGCACTGCGCGGCTCGTCACCGTTAGCTCATAAAAAGGACACGATTAACGAGCTCAATAGCCTCGCTCTCTACGTGACATGGTATACCGGGGAGACCAATGACTGCGTCAGGACGATTTTGCGGCAGTCAAGCACTCGATTATTACATTAGCATGCGCTCAAGTGTAATACTTAATTAATTCGTGCGCTGCAGGCAATAAAAATAATACGAAAGATGGTATATACCGGTGCATACTGTACAAGCGGCGTGATTGGCGAAATCGCAGCTATATATATGGTTGCGATTTCTATAATCGCGCCGCTCTAAGAAGTGAAGGAGGAAAAGGAGTATCGAGGTTGCTCCTTTAGAGGAGCAACTAACGTGCCACACCCATTGCTCCATTTTGGAAGTAGCTGTGAAAAAGTAAGCACGCTCTCGCAGTTGCTCCTGAAAGGAGCAACAGTAACCAAAAGAGAAAAAATCAGGTTTTTGGTTGGCTCAACCAGCCTTTCAAAGTGCGTGCTGGCATTTGATTAGATGTACAATCGATCTGCAAGCATCATATTCAGAAATATATTTAGAAAAACTTGCAGCAAGCACACGGGACTCGAACACACGACCACTCAGTCAGGATGCGCGTGCACTAACCACTACACCACATCACGCTACGGCACCGTCTAAATAGAAACAGGCTTGTGTAGGCACTGATGGGTCGTTTGCACATGGCGCAAACATTCCTGCAGTTCCTCCAAAAAACCGGCGCTTTGCTCCACAAGGAGCAAAGTGGCTCTCCTTGCTGGAACGTGGGCAATCTTTTGCGCACATTCCATCTTTAGGAGGAGCAAAGAGCCATTTTCGGGGGTAGCAGTTCCCCCACAAAACTGTTTAGTGCATATACCGCGACTGCCACCGCGGCTGCTTCAGGTATATCGCGCGCCTTCATCGCTGCCCGAGATAATCGTAAATCGAGAAGGACCTCCGTGCGAACGTTGTCGCGAATGGTGCCGGGGCACACGGCCGTACGATTTCACCTCCCGGCGAGATGTCAAGTTACAGCCAGGCATCCCTGTATGCCAGAGATAAGCGCACCTAACCAGCCAATCCGTCCGCGGCGCTGTGAAGAATCCAAGTCAACGCTGGTTCATTGAGAATGCGTACGGCACTTCGGGTTAGGGAGCATGCGGCATTATGCGATCGGTAATCGACGGGGCAGGCCCGTATCAAATTGCATGAAGCGGCCGTCGCTCAACGCTTCATTTGAAGTGAGTTTTGGTGAGCACGCACCGCACCGCGTTGCGAAAGAAGGTCCTCCTCCTTATACACGCATATGTATGTAACGTGCGCTTAGTAGAGGGCGCTGATGCGCATAATGAGCTAATAATGAACGCGTGCGCTACAGAAGAGAGAACAGTGCAGCCTGCAGAGGAAACCCCGATTGGCGTGTGTCAAGGATTGAGCGCCATCTGGTGATGAGGCCCGAGGCGGGAGGTTAAGGATGACCGAGAGACTTTGGCTAGATCCTTCCGCGGTTGGCTGGCCATGGACGACGGACAATTGGCGTCCCACATTCTAAAGTGGAGAAGGCCGCGTGTCTCGTGTATATGCAATGTGATTTGCGGAAACGCTTTGACTGAAGGACCAATCATGAGCACTTTGAGCGGTCATTCAAACGTTTAATCTCTCACCTGCATGGTTGGTGAATGCGAAGGCTAAACGCTGTGGTGTAAACAATTGATTATACCAAATAAGTTTTCAAAAGAGTGTAATTAAGGCATGGACATATATAGCGTGTAGTGTGAGCCTCTGCGCGGCATGTTCTCTGTTTTCGACAAGTGCTCGGACGTGATTCCCGCCCATTATTTCATTATGTATAGAACCAACTACCACGACAATAAATCTTGTGAACAGGATTCAGGCGTCCTTAGTGTTGTTCTAAATAGACGACGTAAATAGTAAAACGTTACCGAAGCAGAAATACTGCGACTGATTGCACAAGATTTCTTTCTGCTCATATTCACTCACACAACCACTTCAAGTTCATTATAATTTTGTAATTTTGGTTGTCAAGCTGCTTTCCAATGATGCTAAATGCAAGAAAAACCGTTTCTGTAATATTCATCATTAAAATAAAATAATAAAATAACTACAGCAGACAAAAAGTGAAC